AACTGACACTGCATCTAGTTGCTCAATAGTTCTGCTGGAGATGTACAAGGAGATAAATGTTTTCATGCATAGTAACCCAACATCCATTCTGCAACCCACAGATCAAGGAGTAATTTCAACTTTCAAGTCTTATTATTTAAGAAATACATTTTTTTTTTTTTGAGACGGAGTTTCGCTCTTGTTACCCAGGCTGGAGTGCAATGGCGAGATCTTGGCTCACCGCAACCTCCGCCTCCTGGGTTCAGGCAATTCTCCTGCCTCAGCCTCCAGAGTAGCTGGGATTACAGGCACGCACCACCATGCCCAGCTAATTTTTTTGTATTTTTAGTAGAGACGGGGTTTCACCATGTTGACCAGGATGGTCTGGATCTCTTGACCTCGTGATCCACCCACCTCGGCCTCCCAAAGTGCTGGGATTACAGGCTTGAGCCACCGCGCCCGGCAGCAGTTCACTAAGAAGTACATTTTTTAAGGCTCTAGCTGCCATCCTGATTCCTATGAGCCATCTGGGCAAAGTAAATTGAAAAACTTCTAGAAAGGATTCACCATTCCATATGCCATTAAGAACATTTATGATTCATGGGAGGTGGTAAAAATATCGACATTTAAAGGAGTTTGGGGGAAGGAGGAATCCACCTCAAGGATAACTTTAAGGGATTGAAGACTTTAGTAGAGCAAATAACTGCAGATGTCATGAAAATAGCAAAAGAATCAGAATTAAAAGGGGAGCCTGAAGATGTGACTGAATTGCTGCAATCTTACAATAAAACTTGAACAGATAAGAAGTTGGTCCCTTTGCGTGAGCAAAGGCAGTGGTTTTTGAGATGGAATCTACTGTTGGTGAAGATGCTATGAACATTGTTGAAATGACAATAAAGGATTTAGGACATTACATAATCTTAGTTCATAAAGCAGAGGTAAGGTTTTAGAGGATTGATTCCAATTTTCAAAGAAGTTCTATTTTGGGCAAAATTATATCAAACACCATCACATGCTATAGAAAAATCTTTTGCGAAAGGAAGAATCAGTTACTGCAGCAAACTTCATCCTTGTCCTAAGAAATTGCCACAGCCACCCCAACCTTCAACAAACCATCAACCTGATCAGTGAGCAGCCATCAACATTGAGGCAAGACCCTCCACCACAGAAAATATTATAATCATTGAGCCTCAGATGATTGCTAGTATTTTTAACAATAAAATATTTTAAAATTATGTATTAATACTTCCTAGACATGATGCTAGTGCATGCTTAATAGACTACTGTATAGTGTAAATATATATATATTTTAGATGGAGTCTCGACCTGTTGCCTAGACTGGAGTGCAATGGCGCAGTCTCAGCTCACTGCAACCTCTGCCTCCCGGGTTAAAATGATTCTCCTGCCTCAGCCTCCCAAATAGCTGGGATTATAGTCACCTGTCACCATGTCCATCTAATTTTTGTACTTTTAGTAGAGATGGGGTTTTACCATGTTGACCAGGCTGGTCTCGAAGTCCTGACCTCCTAATCCACCCATCTTGGCCTCCTAAAGTGCTGGGATTATAGGTGTAAGCCACCACACCCGGCCTTTTTTTTTTTTTTTTTTTTTTTGGACACAGGGTTTCACTCTGTCACCCATGCTGGAGTGCAGTGGCACTATTTTTCACTGTTTCACTGCAACTTCCACCTCTTCAGTTGAAACAATTCTCCTACTTCAGCCACCCAAGTGCTGGGACTACAAGCACGCACTACCATGCTCAGCTAATTTTGTATTTTTTGTAGATATAGGGTATCACCATGTTGCCCAGTCTGGTCTTGAATTCCTGAACTGAAGAAATCCTCCCACCTCGACCTCCCAAAGTGTTGGGATTACAGGCTTGAGCCACTGCATCAGCCAAACATAACTTTTATACACACTGGGAAATCAATGAATTTGTGTGACACAGTTTATTGAGCTCTTCATTTTATTATAGTGGTCTGAAACTGAACCCACAATATCTCCGAGGCATGCCTGTATAAAGCCTCTCAAACCCAATAATAAGAAAATAACCCAATTACAAATTAGGTAAGGTATGTGCAGAGATACATAACCAAAGAATATATATACATAGCAAAAAAGCACATAAAAACAGCATTTTTCTATATGAGATAGTCAACTAGAAAATGTAATAAAAATACAAGATGCAATAGCAACAAAAGCATGAAAGCTTTAGAAATTAGCTTAATCAAGAATAAAAAGAGTTCTATGAGAAAGGATTGAAATGTAAAGGACTTAGAAGATTTGAATAAATGAAGGGATATTTCATAGTCATAGCTGGGACAACTGAACATTACATAGGTATGGATCTGGAGGTATTCTATGTTTCCATCCCTGAAGGAGTAAACAGGTAAAAAAATCAAATGTGCAGTAGACTAAGTAACGTAACGAAGCTCACTTACACAGTATGCAGCTATCAGAAGAATGAGATTAGTTGTGTACATAAAAACATGGACAATTTTTAAAAACACAGGGATGAATGAAAACATTAATAATGAATAAGATAAAGAACATAAAACCATTTATGAGATTGATACTAAATGCACATATACAAATGCAAATTCGCAAAATGAAAAACACAGGAAATTCACATTAAATGCTGTAGAATCGTAGCTTATAGGGGAAGGGAAAGAGACTGGTCCATGGAGAGGAAGGAAACACATGTAGAAAAACTTGGTTTTGCGTATCAAGAATCAAAAACAGGAAGGAAAAAAAGTAGATCAGCCCGATGGAAGAAAACGGTTTTGGGAAGAGATTTAACTTGAGTTAATGTTGTGATGGGGGTGAGCAATGAACAAAGCTCCAGAGGGAAAAAGCTCTCCCCAGGGCTGAGAGGGTCTTATGCTTTGATGTCCAGTGCAGGCACAGCCCAGGGATAAATATCCAATCTGGCACTTGAAGTAGGAAAGAAGCAATAGATAAAAGCTGTGTTGTGAGAGAAACACCTGAGTGAGCACCCCTGTGCACAGCTGGGAAATACCCAACAAGTTACTATATACCACTGTGCCAAGAACCTGATGAACATGATGTAAGGGATGCCTAGGTATCTGGAGTTGATTCAAGAAGGACATGGACAACATGGACTTCACTGCCAGGTGCCCTGGCAGATCCATGGTGATGAGCAGTGCATACCAGCATATAATTAATGAAACCAAAGACAGAAGTCATGCCTGAGGCCATGTGAACAGAGAATAGTCTTAGACTAGATGCTACATTCAATGATATAACAGTTTTATGTAATCCCTCTGAAACTTAATTTACTATGGATCACATGGAAGAAGAGTGGGAAGAAAGTCTTGAATCAGTCAAATTTAAATCTGTGACTCAGTTGTTTTGAATTGATGAGTTTTAAGTTTTTGGCAACACTGGAAATTAAATTGTAAGATATGTTCAATTGTAGAGAAATAAATTTACACTTCTGTACACCTTAGCTCTGATGAAAAATTCTTATCTGGGTGTGGTGCTCATGCCTGTTACCCCAGCACATTGGGAGGCCAAGATGTGTGGACCACAAGGTCAGGAGTTCCAAGACCAGCCTGGCCGCAATGGTGAAACCCTGACTCTACTAAAAATACAAAAATTAGCCAGGTACCATGGCCACACTTGTGATCCCAGCTGCTTGAGAGGCTGAGGCAGGAGAATCGCTTGAACCAAGGAGGCGGAGTTTTCACTGAGTCGAGATTGCACCACTGCATCCCACCCCTGGGCAACAGAGCAAGACCCTATCTCAAAAAAAAAAAAAAAAAAGAAAGAAAGAAATAAAGAAAGAAAAAAAGAAAAGAAAAGAAAAAAAAAGAAAAAGAAAAACTCTTTTACTGTACGCATATTACCTGGGGGTGAGAGAAAGGTGAAAGCAGTGAGTTACATTTTTAAATACAGAGAAAAGGTCAGAATGAGCTCTTTTTATTTTATTTTACCTTTTAGGATGACAATGCTACTAATTTTAAGAAGAAATTTTAAATAAACAAAAAAATTAATATATAATAGTCCTGAATAGTTTTCAACTACATATTAAAAATGTACCCCAATCTAATTATAACCTATGAGTATGGTAGTATGGTCTGTGTTTTCTAAAATAAAGAAATTAAAAGCTCATGGTCCACATTTAATTATTTGAACTAAATGTCTTTGTTTAGGATGGCCAGAAATGATACTAAAGGATATCTAAAAAGGAAAGAGAAAAGTCACTTGTTGCATGAAAAGCAGCAGAAGAAAATAATGCATGTCAAGATGTTATTCCCTTGGAGAAGAATCTCAGAATCAAAAGCCACAAGTTGAGCTTAAAGTTAAGGACAAACATTTATTAGAGGTAAAATGGGATAAGCTTTGTAAAGTTAAAACATTTGGTTTAGTAATTATCAAAGCTATGTTTGAAAATGTTTTAAGCATAATTCTATAATTATTAAACATCAGTAAATTAAAATTAAAAATACAGCTCTTAAGGACTTAAGTTAGCATTCAAAAAGTGATATGTTTTTAAGGCATGAGGGTAAAAAAGTTGGCTTTATGACTTAATATTTTTATTAATCTACAACAAAAAAATAGCCTTAAATTATCCTTCTGGGTTATTAAGAACAACTCTAGAAAGTAATGGTTCATCATTTTGGTATTCTGAAATCCTATCAAAGCAAATTTGATTTTGCAATACTTTTTCCATGCCTACAGGAGACTTAAGTCAAAATCATAATAAACTAAAATAAATTTTCCTTTGAGAAGTTTTGGAGAATTTTCTTATTTGACCTTCAGATTTCTATAAATACCCTAATGCTTGACAAATCCATGATTGGAAAGCAGATGTACCATTTACTCCAGATTTATGTGAAAAATTAGATAACTGATTATATGACTATTAATATGAACTATTTTTATTTAATTAGGAATCAATTAATGATGTAAACTATAATACTGAACAAATTCACCTTAATTTTATATCTTATTAAGGCTATTAATTGATAATCAAATTATTTTTTAATAAAACTTACAAAGCTGAGCATCTGTGTGGAGAGTTCCTCCTTTAGGATTCAGTTTCTGGGTCTGAATTACAGGAACCGGTTTATATGATTGACCTGTGGCCCTATACATGGCTTGAACCCATAATATTCTGTCCTGTTCATCATCACTGGCAAATATTACAGTATCTCCTTCTTTCACAGCATTAAAGAACATACGACCACCCTGAAGGCCTGTGGAGGAAAGAAAGACATCATTAAAAATTTATAGGATTGGCAGATTTTAGGCTCATTCACTAACTGACCTTATGGATAAGAATGGATTTGATGTTAGCAGTTCAATGTTTTAAACAATATTTAGTTTAAAGGATCAAATCCACAATCCAAAATTTGAAGAAAAACAATAACAAAAAGGTTTAACCCCCCAGATAACCTCAGAAATAAAAAAAAATAACCTAGGGAAACTAATGCTCCATGACACAGTAGCATTTTGCAAGACATATAAACATACTCCACAGAAATGCATAGCACAATCTGATATCTCATGCCAGAAAAAGAAGTTTTATCTGTCAGCGTATTTGCCATTCTATATGCAGGAAAAATATATAATGATAAAACAAAAATGGTATTTCATATGGCATGTTATCTTCTATAAAATTCTTTCACAGAGAAGATATTTTGTATTTTAATTGAACAATTAGTTAATATAGTTATAGATTTCAATTTCTTAAATCTCTATTTACCAATCATTAATGTCTATATTTCTTGATCTTAGATATTAATGTCATTAATATTTATTCACTAACTATTTTTAGGTATCAGCTGTCCAGTACTCTTTCCAGTATTAATATGAAGGGAAAGAAAGAAGTACAATAATTTATTGTTGGGAGAAAATTAGTAGGTATAATATAGTAATTCATTTGCCTTTTTTTTTTTGCCTATTTCTGCTATAACTTTTGCTTTTGAGAGAAGCTTCTGAAAACATCACTATTCTCATATAATTATTCCATTACAGTGACTTTTACACATTTCAACCTTGTGCTGTAATAATATGGAGATGATGAAATACGGCTAAAAATAAAAGCCATCCAAAAGAGATAATTTGAATCTCATAAAGTCTTGCCCAGGTATGTAAGTGAAATATGCATCCTATTCATCGAGAAGCTTTTAAAATGTAGAGCAGACACAGGATATTTATAAGAATTGTATGGCAGGGAAAGTGGTTCAATTAAGATTTACCTGGGTGGGGATCAGTATAATCCACAGTATAGCCTTCAAGCTGCATTAATTCTTGAGGTTCAGATTTTTTTTCTCTGTAACTGCACATAGCAAAGGTATATTGGCTAACCTGCTCGAGAAAAAAAAAAGTTTACAGATGGGTCATATTTGCCAAACTTAACTTTTGATTTTTTCTTACCAAACCACTCTTTTCCCAAATAAAAATATAACATAATTTGCACATAAATTAGTAAATTTTAGCATTTTTCAAAACCTAGCTCAGAGATTAAAGCACCTTTTGTTCATCAGCTTGCATCTGCCAGGTCTTCTATGCCTATGATCCAGCATTCCCCAGGTCAGTAGTTTGCTGTTCAAGCTTCTATATTAATAGAAGCATCATAAATAAGTACTCATGTTAGTACATTTGGGATCATTAGCCTATTAAGAAGATAAATATCCTTCTTTTATTATGGTTTCTGATGGCTTTTAATATGCTAACATAGACTGTAAATATCTAAGAGTGAAATCAGGAGTAGTCCTAGATTTATATAACCATAAGACAACATTCTCAAGAATATTTCTATCAAGACTTTTAACGAAGTAAAGAAAGATCTCAGTAAAAGTTGAGAATTTAGTGCCCACATAATGAAACTCTCAGACCGAGCAAGGATGGAGTAAATTTGGGGCAGCCAGTGACAACACTTTCAAGATTTGCTCTGCCTCTTAATTTCTTCCTGTCTTTGGAATTGGCTTCACTTCCTTGTGCTGAACCATAGCTGCTCTGAAGTCACCTCCCTGAGTGTGTCTGCTTGGACCATAAGGCCATATATGAACAAAATACTGTAAGGGAGGAATGTTTCATTAGCCCGGTTTGGGTCAAGAGCTCACGTACACAGCAAAGAATGTTAGATTGTACAACAGGTAGGCTCTTACAAGGTCCCCCAACAGAGATAGAGGGAGGTTCTGTTCCCAGCAGGAGAAAAGGCTGTTTGGTAGATACATATCTAAACTGCAAAATATCCTACAATACAGAGTCCATGGAAAATAGTGTGTTAGTGGGTTTTTTTGTTTGTTTTTTTGTTTTTGTTTTTTTTTTCTTCCCCCTTTTCTTTGAGACAGGGTCTTGCTTTGTCACCCAGGCTGGAGGACAGTGGCATAATTATGGCTCACTTGCAGCCTCCACCTTTGGGGACCCAGTGATCCTCCCACTCAGCCTCCTGAGTAGCTGGACCACAGGTGCATGCTACCATGCCCAGCTAATTTTAAAAAATCATTTGTAGAGACAGGGTCTCTCTATGTTACCCAGGCTTGGTTAATGTTAATTATTTCCTTTTTCTGTTTTTAAACATAAAATGAAACTAAGGAAACATAGTACCTTTCAATAGACAGTGATTACTTCAATAGGACCCTAAGAGAAACTAGTTATGAAAAACAGTGAATAGGGATTCCATTACAATTGAGGAATTATCTTCATTAAAGGGTACCATGAAGAAAAAAAGGCAATGCAACAGACTAAGAGAAGATGTATGCAAAACATATATTGAATCAATAACTCACATCAGAAATATAAAGAACTACAAATCAACAGAAAAAACTCAGAATACATGGTAAAATATAGGTAAAAGGAGACTTCTGTTTTAAATTTTCACATCCACTCTCTGTACCTGAGGCCAGAGAGATTTGAGGTAGTGACAGGTGTAATGCAAAGACCAACACTGTTACTTTTAAAAGGAGTAAATACATTTTCTGTTCTGAGCAAAGAGGAGCTCTTTTCTCTGCTCCTGTCTGCTCTTCTACAAAGTAAAAGGTGCAGATCATTGTGAAAATTACTATGTTAGAGACTGCTAAGTTGCATGACAAATTCTGAATTTAGAACTGAAAATTAACACAACCATAACACTTCATTAGAAAAAATGCTGCTTAGATTAGCAAAAATGAAAATGGTTCACCCATACATACACAGTATGGGTGACCAAATGGAAACTTGGGCAGACTTTCTGGAAGGTCTTCTGGCAACAGGTCCAGTGACATACTTATGCTTTACATACATCACAGTACATAGGTACAAATATGCAACACATTTTTGCCAAGCGTGGTTATGTTGAATCTTTTAATCTTTTTGCCAATTTTGATGAATGGGAAAAGCTCTCACTGTTATTTGCGTTCACAATTCCCATTACAATAGGACTGAGAATTTTCCCTTATATTTGGTAAACATATGAAGTTTTCTTTTCTGTGAGTTTCCTGATCAAATAGTTTGCTCATTTTCTAATACATTATTTGTCATTTGTGCCCTTTTCTATAATCAATTTTGTTAGAGGTTTATTCACTTTTTTAGTGTGTTAACATGGCTAGGCTATAGCATCCAGTTATTTAATCAAACACTAATCTAAATGTGGCTGTGAAAGTAGTTTGTAGATGGTGAACATCTACAGTTGTTCAGTTGACTTTAAGTAGAGGAGATTATCTTTGATATGTGGGTGGGTCTCATACAAGCAGCTGAAGGCCTTAAGAGCAAAAACTAAGATCTGAAAAACGAGACATTTTTGTGTGATGCCTCAACACTGCAGTATCAGCCTCTGCTGGAGTTCTAGCCTGCTGGCCTTTCTGGAGAACTCTTACTGATACAGTAATAAAAGCATTATTATTTTTTATGCATTCCTTTGGTCCAGCAAGGAATGTATCTCAAGCAAACAAATGGAGAATTACTCAAAGATGTATATGCATTGTGTTCACTGTAGTGTTGCATATAAGCATTTTGGTTAAAATATATCATGGCATGACTACACACTATCACACTATGAATCATTAAAAGAGACATGATAGATTTTTTTCTTAACATGAGAATTATGTCTAAGCTGTAACATAAAGAGCAAGTTAAAAGCAAAAATGCAGAATGTGATTCTGTGAGTAAACACTATATGTATATGAATTAGACATATATATTAAAATATTTATGGTGATTATTACAGAACGGTGATATGATAGTTTATTTTTTGTGTTGTTTTTTTTTTAAAGAATGTACATTATTTTAAATGAGAACAAAGAATAAAGTTATTTCTATTTTGAAAAATAAAAACAACATTAAGCCTTACCAGGGGACATTGAGGCCAATATCTTGTGATACTTGTGGTTCTTGCTACACTAAATTTTCTTGTCTCTTTCCTCATCTTATAGACTGTCAATAAATTTACTTTTTCCCCTGCATATGTCTAAGGCTTACAAATGAAAGCCAGTGGCTCCCCTAAGGTTTTTAAAAAATACATTATAATCACTTAAAGGTTTCAGTTTCCTTACATTAAAAAGGTATAATTGTGTGGGTGTTTTGGGGGATGAGGGTTAAGGAGTTGGAGGTAGGGGTGTTGAAAGGTAAACAATAACAGTCCGATTCTATTTGTTCTAAAAAATCCATTCTCTTACTCTTGAAAAACAACAGTCCAAAGGTACACTATTCTTTCATAAATCTATTTTACACAGCATCTTAAAAATATTATGAAATACCTCAAACATAAAGTACAATAATACATGAATGTGTATATTTCTTAGAGATATATATGCTTTAAAGTGTATTTTGTAAAGGACAGATACAATTAATGTCTATATATGCCCACCCAAGTCCCTTTCCTTTCTCTTCTCAGAGACAGACACCATGCTGACTTTTCTGTTTATTAGATTATTTCCATGATGTTTTGAAATGTGTACCACATATAAGAAAATTGATAAACAACATCAAGTACTTTCTGTGTTTCTAAACTTCATATGAATGGATCATACATATTCTTTTGCAACTTTCTTCCCCAAAAGTTCAGTGTTTCTGATCCTTAACCATATTGATATAAATATTGTTACTTGAATTACCACACTTTAACCACTCTCCTAGTGATGACCTTTACTTTCTTTCACTTATTGCCCTGATAAACAATGCCATGATGGACATTCTTGTACACCTTGTCTTGTTCACAAGTGTGAAAGCTTCTCTAGTACCATGTCAAGGACTGGAACTGCTAGGTTGTAGGGCATGCAGATCTTCATCTTCACTGAATGTTGCCTAGCTGCTTTCCAATTTCTACATTCTATGTATACCTGCGGTATATGAGCACTCCAGATATAATTTTTTTTTTTTTTTTTGAGACGGAGTCTCACTCTTGTTAACCAAGCTGGAGTGTAATGGCGTGATCTCAGCTCACTGCAACCTCCGCCTCCTGGGTTCAGGCAATTCTCCTGCCTCAGCCTCCTGAGTAGCTGGGATTACAGGCACGTGCTACCATGACCAGCTAATTTTTGTATTTTTAGTAGAGACGGGGTTTCACCATGTTGACCAGGATGGTCTGGATCTCCTAACCTCGTGATCCACCCACCTTGGCCTCCCAAAGTGCTGGGATTACAAGCTTGAGCCATCATGCCCGGCCTCCAGAAATAATATTAATACATCTTTGCCAAATTTGGTATTTTGAATCCTTTTTTTTTTTTTTGGCCAACTTTGATGGATGGGAAGTGGCATTTCACTATTATTTGAGTTTGCAATTCTTGTTGCCAATAGGACTAAGAATATTCCCTTTTGTTTATTAGTCATTTGGAGTTTTGTCTTCCTTTCTGATGAAATAATTTGCTCATTTTTGAATGTATCATTCATTTGGCCATTTTATAGCCTTTTCCATAATCAATCAATTCTGCCAGAGATTTATTCAACTTTTTAAAGTTTTCAGAAAACATTTTTGCATTTCGTTAATCCTCTCTGTTGTTTGTTTTTTATTTCCTTAATTTCTACCATATTTCTTATCTCTTCATTTGGGAGATTTATCTCTTTTCTTTTCTTTTCTTTTTTTTCTTTTGGTTTTGTTTTGAGACAGAGTTTGCTCTGTCACCCAGGCTGGAGTGCAATTGCACAATCTCAGCTCACTGCAACCTCCGCCCCCTGGGTTAAGCAATTCTCCTGCCTCAGCCTCCCAAGCAGCTTGATTACAGATATGATCCACAACGTCTAGCTAATTTTTTGTATTTTTGGTAGAGACAAGGTTTCACCATGTTGGCCAGGCTGGTCTTAAAGTCCTGACTTCCAGTGATCCACCTGCCTCAGCCTACCAAAGTGATGGGATTACGGTGTGAGCCACTATGCCTGGCCTTGATTGT